ATAACGCCAAGAAAACTAACCCAAACCTAATCCTAACCCAAAGCATTTTTGAAGGCGTTATGCAAAAAGGCGTCTTTTTGCAAAGAGGCTAGCCTTTTTGCAAAAAGGCTGCGATATATATATATTATGTATCATTTCATTTCAAGTATAATGTACGCTAGTTCAGCTACAAAGAACAACTTTCACATTTTAAACATTTTATAATTATTTTTTCCAATGGATATTCTTAACGTAATTATGTAATATCTATTGTATCATTAAAGTTATTATTTTGTGTACTTTCCGTGGTAATCAGTCCGTTTGCATATGAATCATTTTTTATTTTTTATTTTATATAACGAAGAAAGCTACGAAAAAAGCAAGTAGAGTATACACACTAAAAAGAACACCTCGCCTTTCACCCACAATTACCCGAAAATTCGCAAATTGATGTCAATTATAAAGATTGCGAGCTTGTTACATATTATGAAAATAAAACAGTTAATCCGTAATAATTCTATAAGTAATGATTCTCTTTTTATTGGTCTTTTTTTTTACAGTAACAATACTAACAATGCGATTCCTTCTGCGATTAGTCGACGTATCTTATTTTCTCGCGTCTCGCTCGCTGCTCGCGCTTTGAACGTGAATGAAGTGCGTCCGCGTCGTCACGTGCACGCGACGCATCGTGGCGCGAATCGATACCTAGGGTTCGAGAAGGAAAAAGAGGGAGAGAGAGGAAGCAGGGATGTATGTACGGTGTCTCGCGATAGCGGATGCAAGCGATACTCTCGCGTTGTCGCGAATGATGATGAATTGCGTAATGTAATCTCGCTTCGTCATTTCATCAGGATTGGGTCAGGGTCGTTCCTGTTTATTTATTTCCTGACAAAAATCGTCGTGCGCGCGCGCAGTGTGCGATTGGTAACCTTGTTGGTGACTCTCTCTACCCTTCTCCCTGCCCTTCCCCCCCCCCCCATGTTGCCGTAGTTGTGGTGCTACGCTTGTCACTCACGCTCGTTGATGCTCGTGCTACTACGATGTGTTTACATCGTAATTCAGGAAATGCTATTGCCTTGTAAGGCGAGTCAACTTGAATCCGGCAGTATGAAACGCATGGTAATGTCAAGCTACATCTTTCCTGCCGCTTTCTAAACGCGACAATTGGTTCGGCGCGTCGTGCATTCCCTTCTTTCTCCCGCGTGATAATTTTAGGTTATTCTAGGTTAATTTATCCATGCCAAACAATGTTTACATACGCGATTGCACGCCGATGTCGTTTGCGCGGCGACGAAATAAATGTGACGTTTCGACGAAGCGACGCGCGGTCGTAAAATTTACAAATCGCTATGCACGCGACCCGTTTTAATTCATTTTTTTCCCCCTGATCGTCAGATGCCCGAGGAAAGCGGCGAGACCAAACGGACCTTTTTCAAGCAGGAGTCCATCAACTTTGGATACGCCAGTTACTCGTCGTCGTCGTCCGCACCCTCCGCCATCGCTCAACCTTTGCCCGGACAACCACCCCTGCCTCCCATGCCACCGCCGCCCAGCGGAGTTCCACCTCCGCCACATGTATTTGGACCAGTGCCTTCCCAAGTGACTCCCATTCAGTGGACACACGCGCACACCCCGTGGCAATGGATAACGCCGCAAGCGTCCCCCCTGCCGACTCCCCCTCCAACTCCACACGATATCACTAATACAATTCCACGGGAGATTCCGCTGAGGGGTAACTACGTACGTCGCGATAGGTTCACTCACAATAGGAGCAATATGTATACTCAGAGGAATAATTTTCACCGTAAAAATAGAAACGTGGTACGGTTCAGGCAGCCGCAGGGTCAGTTTGATCAGGCTGCGTATTTCGGCGCGGCGGCGTTGGCAGGTAATCTTGGATTGGAGTGGCGAAGAAGTAATTATACGGCGACGAGTGATCCTACATTAAATCACATGACTGTTCCTCTACCTAACCATCCCATACCTCCCATCCCACCGAGAATTGTGAGCAACAGGCATAGCGAGGAAACGGAGGATCAGGATGTGAAGATTGTACTTAGTGTCCATATTTTAATTATTGTACACATTTGTTACGAGAATAGCTATTGCAATCAAATTACTTTCAGGAAAAGGTAGTGAAGAAGAATAAACAAAGGAAGCCAATGTCACAAAATTATGTGAATAAGCCGTGGAACAGAGAAGATGCGGAAAGAGCTCTAAAGATTGAAAGCGAATATAATATGAAGAATAAAGTCAATGCGCAGAGTTTAATAATTAGGTTTCCCGACACGGATCTAGATAAGGATATTGTTGGCAAATTTCATTCTGACATACTGAATATACATTTTCAAAATCCGTGCGGGCCGAGATATTGCTTCATTCAAATGGCGGAGGACGTAAATATTGACGAAGCTATAAAGGAATTAGAGAAAATCAAGTTTGGTGTGGGACATTTAAAAGTCGAGAAAAAATTACATAGAGACGAAGATAATCCCGAGGAGATAGATCCGTATACCCTGTTCATAGGAAATTTACCCGAATCCGTTAAAACGAGCGAAATAAAAAGTAAATTTCCAAAGGCACAAGATGAAGAAACGCGAAAGATGAAGAACACACGGTGAGTTATTATGAATTTATTTTATTTACTATTTACTATATAAAATAAAATAGAATCAAGTTTTAGATTTTTTTTTGTATTTATAATCCCGATATCTTGTTATAGGAATATTTTAATGAGATATAATAGCGTAGACGATGCAATATCAGATTACAAGCAAGCGTACGGTTTAATGTGGGACAAGAGGAATATTAACGTTAGATTTAGACGAAAGAGAGGTAACACTTGTCTTCCCGAAGAGCCCAAGCCTGACGTTAAGAAAGTTAAAGAGGAGCCGAGTAATGCTGCACAAGTGGAAAAGCAACAGAATGCAAATCACATTGAACTTGAGCTCAATGTTAGTGAGTTGAAAGAAGAAGAGAATAACGCTAGTCAGGAAGATAAAGTCAATCACGCGGATAAATCATCGGCAAATCAAGATGTGGTTAGTGTGGAGGAGCGATTGCAAGATAATTCCAATAAAACACAAAGGAAGCCAGTCTCGCAAGTTCAGGAAAATGTAAATTTATCCGGATTGTCGACTTTGTCGGGCGATAATACGTCGGCTAAGGCAGCACGAGAAGAACAACAACCTTTGGTAAAAGATGTAAAATCAGTATTGTTACATTATTGTTATAAATGCAATAATATGTTACATATGAAAAATTCCTAAATTCAAAAAATTTTTGTATATTTAATGAACTTTAAATTGCCCAGAAAAACTTTGTATTATTTAATCTTGATTTGTTTGAGATCTTTAAGATATTTTTAAGGGAAAATTTTCAGGCAAACTGAAACCACGTAAGACTCATAAAATATAAAATTCAAATCATTGATACAAAAAGGCTATACGAGTCAAACACAGTTAGTGGTCCGTAAATTCTTCGATTTAAATAAATCTTTAGTAAAATATTACATAAAACGCGTAACTAATAATACGAACGTATGTCGACTCCGCTTTGAACCATTCTCAGCGCAAAAACAATATCGGTATAACGATTGTCTCGTATAATAAAGACTTTTAAATCGCATCACTAACTGCACATCTGACTTATATCTTTTGTTTTATTACATACGATATTACAATCGTCATTCTAAAAAAGTTCTAATGCTTTTATTTTTCTACGTAGACATCACAGTCCCTTCCAATACCCGCAGCATCCGAAGCTCTCCCATCGTGTCCAACGTCTGTGGCCGAGACGGATACCACTGAGGAAACGGTGATGCTTTCGCAGATCAAAGAGGAACCCATAGATTACGATGAGATGGGCATGGATAACATGCAGTCGGACAATGATGGTGATATCGACGATGATGACGATGATGACGATGACGACGATGACGATGATGATGATGATGACGTTGAGGAGCCAGATGATACTGATGACGATGAGGATAACAATGCGGTAGACTTTGAAGATGACGATGAAGGTGAGGATATTGATGACGATGGAAATATAGCGTTTAGGACTAAACCATCAGGAACAACACGAAATAACGAAGAATCAGACGTAAGTATATAGCGCATAACTAGTTAAGTATTTTAAAATCTCGATAATATATCTTACATTTAATATGTGTTTTTTTTTTCTTCCAGCACCTTGATCAAATGTTTAGCGAATTGGAGAATATGACAGGTGACATCGGTTTCTTAAAGCAGTGAATGAAACGTCGTTTTAATACTCGCCATTATGCTCCGACCCAGTTCTTTTTATGAAACTCGATTCTGTATTCGATTTATTTAACGTGTAAATATAAGTAGTTACGTATAGTATAAGCAAATGAGACTGCATGTATTTAGATATCGTAGTGTAAGCTATTATAGAGCCGATTATAAGATATTTAAGCATTTTGTAATTATTATTTCTTCTAATGAGTTTCTTCAATGACTATCAAGATTCAAGTCGATAATTGTGTAAGCTCTATTACATCATTAAAATTATTATTTTACGTATTCTTTGTAATAATCAATCTGCTCATTTCTATGTCATTCTATTTTATAAATTTTTTATATAGCAAAGAAAGTTATGGATTATTAGTAGAAGAGACTGGAATTAAAAGTAACAGACAAGTTGTAACGTCTATACATATAAAAAAAATATGAACAAGATGTAAAAATTCGTAAAGAAAGAATTTGTCATTACAAACTTCTATCTCTTATGCTTTTATGTCTTGCTTATATATTTTTTTATATTACAACTTGCCCCTGTTACTTTTGTTCTCTATATCTTCCCGAATTGTACTCGAAGAGTGCTAAGTATGATAAGTTGCATCTTTTATCAAATATTTATAAATTGATGTCAATTATAATCAGATGATTACGAGTAGAGCTTGATATATAAGGCGCTTTTGTGCAAAGAAGACTTTGACGTTCTCAATATTTTTATTTACCAATTTATTAAATATAAGATTTGAAATAATTTTTTTAAAAATAGGGCACAAATTTTCATTTTAGTTATATGGTATTGATCATATACTCTTTTTTTCCTAGGACTAATGTAAAAAGTGAAAATTTTTATTATCGAAGTTAACAGAAATTTTTCACTTTTTTCGTTTCCGCTCTAATAATAAGACAAAAGTTAATGATCGATATTCTGATACCTTAAAATACCTCGGCTCTATATAATAACAAAAAAAATTTAATAGCGCTGATAAATAAACATCCGATCCAACCAATAGTTTCAAATTTTATGATAGTTTCTCTAAATTGATATATAGTACACGTTTTGGAAGAAATTAACAGAAGCGAGCACACGAAATTGATGTTAAGAATAGAGACAAATTGGTTTTTAAAACTTAATTTAGCGCCTTCCTTATTAATGCGCTTTTGTGCAGTGCACATCTATTAGCAGCGACTTTGATACGAGTATTGCAGAAATATAAGGGCCTATCCAGACAAACTTGCATAACTATATGCATAAAAAGAATTATTCAATCACATTTTATGTATATCCTTATAATAGAAATATGATTATTGGATAATTTTCTTTATGCATATGATTATGCAACTATACAAGTTTGTCTGGATAGGTCCTAACAGTTAATGCTTCACGAGTAATAACAATTCTTTTCATGTGCATAATTTGTTGAAAAATTTTTTTATCTTACATAATTAAATTACATATACAGGGTGTCCAGTACTCAATGATAAATTAGCGCTCGTGGGCAGGTAGAGTCGGCTAAACTGAATCGAAAAGTCCTCTACCATTTTGCGATCTTCGCAATAGTTATCGAGATACTAATCATTTTTAACAAAAATTACGCCAAGTATATAAAAAAGTATCGTATATTACACCTTTCCTAAATCAAAAACATTATTTTAACAAATAAAAGTTGTCCAAAAACAAATATGAGAGCACACAAGTTGTCAAGTATTTGATTAAGCATAGAGACAAAAATATTTTATTTGAAACTAAAAATATTTTTTTAATAAACCATCCAAAAATATGTGCAGCAAAAGTTTTAATGCCATTGTTTTTCTAAATAATTCTAAGTTTTATAAAACAAACTTAAAGTGACTAAAATGACCAATAGTTTTGGGAAAGATGTTTTTTAATAATTAGTATTTCGATAACTATTGCAAAGATCGCAAAATGGTAGGACTTTTCGATTCAGTTTAGCCGACTCTACCTGCGCACGAGCGCTTTACCATTAAGTACCCACATTAAGTACACACTGTACACGTAGCAGTATCCCAGTGTTGCGCATCGCGTTTGAATACCGGATATATGCGGATATATTCTCGAGGTGACTCAAGGTCACTCAAAGCAGTCCTCAAGGACGCCATCTACTTCCGTCTATCACGAGCGCGCCACAAAAGCGCGGGACAAACCATCCACCTCCAATTCCTCCAAAGAAGCCGCGAAGAACTTGTTAATACTTGTTGCTTCGGGAGCCGTATTTTATAGAAGACTATCCCAGCACGCGATCCGCATCTTTCTACCGCGGAACTACTCGAAGATTACTCGGGCGAATTGCACTCAGCACGAACGTGAAAGCAACAACACGATGTTTGAGGCACGTCTGGTGCAAAGCGCGATCCTGAAGAAGGTGTTGGACGCGGTGAAGGACCTCCTGACCGAGGCGACTTTCGAATGCTCGGACTCGGGGATTCAGGTCCAGGCGATGGACAACGCTCACGTTTCCTTGGTCTCGTTGAACCTCAGAAGCGACGGTTTCGACAAGTACCGTTGCGATCGAAATCTGTCGATGGGGATGAGCATCAGTTGGTGAGCTCGAACATGATAATTTGAAGGTTATGCGCTCGGCGGTTGTGTCTCTCTTCCTCTTTCTTGAACAAAGACAGTGGCTGTGTTCCGCAAAGCGCATCATGCGCATGATGTACTATGGTATCCTTGTTCACCAAATGTTGAGCAAAGATAAAAGGATAAGTTATGCGCATGATGCGCTTTGCAGAACGCAGCCAGTATGTAATTCCTTTTGGCTGTACTATCTTTACGTTTTTCGTTTCGTGAAGTGGAACCGACGCGTGTGCGCTTTAATGAATGAAATTTAAAGCAAAAGCGAAGATTTTATTGAGAGATGCATTCAAAAAGAGCAGGTCTAAAATCAACAAATACTATTATTAGTAATTAATACTAGTTTCCCAGTAAACACAAATAATAACTGCAATGTTGCAGCAACATTGTAACATTCCAACTATATTGCAAAATATTATAATATTGCTGTAATATTGCGGTTATAATTTGTTTGCTGAATTTGTACAGACAATAATATCGATTATGAAATCCACTTTCAGCATGTCGAAGATTCTGCGATGTGCTGGTGCAGAAGACACGGTGACACTCAGGGCGTGGGACAATCCCGAGTCTATCGTTTTTATATTTGAATCACCGAACAAGGAAAAACTGGCTGAATACGAGATGAAACTGATCAATATGGATCAGGAGCATCTGGGCATACCTGTGAGGTTCACTTGCATTAGAAGTAATGGGATCAATCTTAACAAAATTAACGTTCTCATCAAGTAATTGCTTTGTAGGAGACCTCGTATTCGTGCGTCGTAAAAATGCCGACTGCAGAATTTACCCGTATATGTAGGGACTTGAGCCAATTTGGAGAGTCTATAACTTTTGCATGTACCAAGGAAGGTATAAAGTTCAGTTCTTCTGGTGATTATGGTTCAGGTAAATTAGTCATATATATATTATATATATACACATGCAGGTTGTCCCATAAAGATCATAACAACGCTCCTTACGATAACAAAAAGGGTAAACAAAAGGTAGGATTTCAATTTTAAGAAAATCCTGAAAAAAAAATTAAGAAAATACTATAAAATGTCAAGCTTATAAATAGTTTTAAATTATAAGTATTTAAAGTTAGTAAATCAGACCATCTAAAATAGGCGCGTTTAGGTGTGGTACAATGCAAAGTGCTAAAGACGAAAGCTGACTATCATCCCACTTGTTAATATCGATATAAAGATTGTGTGTACGAAGATAAGATTGCTTTTAATGATATTTCTAATTAACAAACTTATAGGCTCGATATTTTGTATTAGGATTTTCGTCTAAAAATAATCTTAGAAATCTTAAGTGATGTTACAGTTTTTATGGGACCCTGTTTATACATACTCTTATGGCCGTAAGTATAAATAAATATAATAAAACATCCTCAATTTAATGCACTTTCTTGGAAATGATAGTAATAGAAAGAGAATTAACAAAATATTAAAATTGTTTTATTGAAAAATACATTCAATAAAACTTTTTTATTTTTCATTAGATACAGAACGTTTATGTTTGTGGAAATGCTTTATACTTATGGCCAAGGCTATATTCTCGAAATAAATGTAAACTGAGCAATATAACATACAATTTGTTCTCTTTACTTACATCATTGAAATCAGATAGAAACTTCAGCGTTGACATTTTCTTCAATGCTGTGTGTCAGTCCAACAACAGATTGAAACTAACTACAGAGCTAAAATCCTCAACTAAAAGTCTATTTAAAATGTTTGTCTTTCTAATCTTGTTAGTAAAGGTCATGTTTTGTATACTCTTGTTTATGTTTTCATTTCTATACGACATATATTTACATTATGGGAGATATTTGATTACTAATAAATGAAATTGTATAGGACAAGTTGTAGATGCATTAACAAATTTAATCAAGGAGTTGAAAACGCTATGATGTTTATAAATAATATTATACACAATATTAATGATAAAAGAAGATAGATCGGAAATACTAATTTGCATGGAAATATCCTGCACATACATGTTATACAGACTTACACATGCTGCTTCCATTTCTTTGCAGCCATCGTCAAATTAGCGCAGACTGCGGACGCGGATAATGAAGAGGAAGCAGTAATAGTCAATATGCAGGAACCAGTAAAGTTAACGTTCTCTTGCCGCTATCTAAATTGCTTTGTAAAGGCTGGTCCTCTTTGCAACCAAGTTACACTGTCCATGTCCGACGATGTGCCTTTAGTATGTGAATACAAGATTGGCGATATTGGACACATTAGGTATTACCTGGCGCCCAAGATCGACGACGAGGAAGAAAATTAAAAAATAATGATAAAAATAGAACTCGTATACGTTGAACTGTAATTAACGGCACTAATATCACGTTACTAATTATTTCGGAAAGTCTTGTTCTATTAACATTCGACAGCGTCATATTTATTATTCAATAGCGAATGAATCAATTAGCTTGACATAATTCCAAGGAGATGATACCATACTGTGTATTTTACTAATCGAGAAAATTAAATACTTCGTTATTTGATATTGAGGTACAAGTAAGGCAAAGTTAAAAATACTTTTAAGGTAATATATTATTTTAATTTTACATTTAAAAGTTATTTGGCTCGTCACAGTGCTAGCGCAATGCAGAATTGACACTAAAATTTATAGTAGAGTGACACAATGATTAGTATAGCAAAATGGTGTCATCCTCTTAATCAATATTCACATTATTAATGTTCCAGAGACTGTGACAGTATTTTGATAATATCGCATTGTTCTCTCTTTTTTTTTATATGTAAGAAGAACTCAATATATTTTCAAAAAATTTGATAAATTTTGAATGTTATATGTTATTCTTAAGTCCTAGCCTAGATCAAAATTTCAAATTTTTGCTTAATGCAAGTCTCTTACTTTTTTATATGTTTGTGTGTATACGCTACTTTAATATAAAAATACATAATTAACTTACGAGCTGAGGGAATAAGAGGGCTATCATGGATGGAATAGCCTAGAAATAGTATACAGTTAAATCTTACATAATTTGGATTTATCCTATAATTACTAAATAATTAAGTTAATTAATAATTAATCATTAAATATTGATTTATATACTATAGAATTATTTTACACGCAAGCACTCCTCAGACAGATCTCTATAAATAGTAAAATCATTCATCATTTGTCCTCTTCGTTCTTAAACGAAAATCTTTTTAAACAAGTAACTTTTTTCTTATATATGTGCACTACATTAAGGGGAAGAAAAGAAGGTTTAAAATTTTCAAATGAGACATTTTGGCAATATTAATCAGCCTCTTTGGTATTAAGACCCTGATATTGCTTTCTTGTTTCAACTCAATCGAAAGTTATTTGATGCAAGAGAGAAAGAGAGAGGAGTTCTATTATTTTATACATTATTAAAAAGAAGATTATTATATGAAGAATTGCGACAGTTACCCTTTAGAAAAAATAGTTTGTATAGATTTCTCTCCAATATGCATTGTGAATTTTTAAAATGCGCTCAGTTATGCTTTCTCTCGGTGGAGATTCACACAGATCCTGACTCGGTTCGCCGTCATGTCGTGCTCCGATTTGGCATTTATACGTTATAGATACGCATTTCAGTCTACGTAAGTCATAATATTGAATATACATAAGATACTGTATGGTCTCTCCACGACTGAGACGCTATGCAAAACAATACGTATATATGTATATGTATCGCCATGCAAAACGACATATACATATATATATGTATCGTCGGGAAAGAAATGTGAAGGGTCTTTAAGCGTTCGTGCTACCGTTACTCCCGTATAAGCTAGGATGTACGTATTTGTCATGCAATGTCCTTAAATGCCTCAGCAGGTTGCTCTTTACATTGAAGCCCTTTTTACAGTAGGAGCAAAGGAAAGGCTTTTCGCCGGTATGCGTTCTTTGGTGGATGACCATCGAGGCGTGACTCGGGAATTCCTTTTGACATATGTTGCATAGCTTTTGGTGATTGTGAACCCTCTTTGGCTTGGGGGGCGCCGAGTTGTTCATCAAGGCCAACTGCTCCTCCGTGTGTTCCGTCTGTATGTGACGTACCCATTCCTGCGGTGTGGAATACATGTTGCCGCATAGATCGCACTTCAAAGGCGGGAAATCCTTGCTGTCGTCGTTTATGTCGTCCTGAAAACCCAGCGCGTTTTCTTCATTTCCTTCTATTTCTCGTGTGCGTGTACGTCACAAAGAAATTTCGTACAATACCTTTCGTTTCTTCCTCCGATTTTCAGTCATGTCGGCGTGCGTGAATTCTATATGCCTCACCCAATCCGACGGCCTGTTAAACGTTTGACTACACATATCGCACGTCAGCGGGGTATACTCCTCCTCCTCCATATCTCCATCCTCGTCCGCGCTGTGTACGATCTCCTGCGACGAGAATAGGACAAACGTTATTGTCTCGTTATATTAAGAAAAAAAAAAATTGTCCATAAGAGCTCTTATTTTACGCACTGGTTTGATATCGATCTCATGATCTATCGTAAGCGATTCCGACGGATCGATCGATTCTTCCCAATCGATCGGCTCGTCCTTCACTAACAGCTCCAGGTTTAGTTCGGTCTAAAAAGAAGGAAGAACATTAGATTTTACGTTTTGCTGAACGAGTGCTGAACGAGTTTTCTATTGTGCATTTATTAAGAAACTTGCTCACGTTTTCACCACCATCGCTCTTTGACTTATTCGACTCGACGTCGCTGCTAACGGACTTCTTCTTCTTGCCGTTTGTCTCGAGATTCTCCTTGTTCTTACTCTGCTCGTTATTCTTCTCTTCAGAGACTTTCTTGGTCTCAGATTCGTTGGTCTTGTCCTCGATCTTCTCAGTGCTCTTCCTCTCAACCGGCTTCGCGGGCTGTGTATTATTTTGGCAAGCCGTGGCTGCCTGCTGCACGTTCTCAATTGTCTTCTCCGCGGTCGGTTGCACCAATTTGATCTTCTGTATCTGCCCTGCCAGCTGCGACGTCTCCCGCTTGTCGCGCTCGATCTTCTGATTATTCGACTGTATATTCTCCTTTTTGCTGCTGCCGGTATTCGACCGCCACAGTCCGCGCACACGTAGGATATCGCCGGCCTTCAGCACACCCTCCAGCTGATCGTTCGTCACAGTGGCCTCGCCACTGTACATGTACTGTATCAGGATCTTTAGCGTGCGGTATCCGATCTCCGTAGGCAACACCTAAGCATAAAATTAACATTATCGGATCATCTATACGCCTCTCTACACATCGTTTCGAATCTTAGCCATCTGTATTTGATAACAAATGAGAAGAATGATAAGAAGACAAGAAGATCCGAAGATTTGAATTACCGACCACGATTATCGGAGCATTGGTGTTTGCGCCGAAGTGGCACGTCTGGAAAATGTGACTGAGGTAAGACGAGCAGGCCGCGAGAACGAATCGATGGGCCGCCACGTGCCGTCCGCAGGACGTGGCCAGAAGAACGTCCGCGAAGGATTCCGAGTGGAGCAGAGTCGCGACGGAGCTGTGCAGATGCGCCCCGTAGCTGTGCCACTTGAGCTGATAATTCTCCGAAGCGGCGATGGCCATTTTTTCTGTATTGAACAACAGAGCGAAGCCGAATTACTATTACACGTGAAATTCAAAAACATTGTTGTGTCATACCGCATTGCATATTTATACGTAATAAATGCACAATTCCTTTCAGTTTAATTTATCTAGATATTCTAGATTTTGGAAACGTGGTCGCGATCGCAATTGCGATGCTTAAGCAATGTGAAAGTCATGGATATTTAAAATTTTTTTTTCTACAGAATTTTAAAACGCTGTTTCCGTGCAAGTGAGCCTGTTGCGCGGCGTAATTTTATCAATAAAGCGACAATAAACCAATCAAATTGTAACAGAGTTCGGAGGGATATCGCAGCACCGAATTTCTCTCTCTCGTCGCCTCAGCGTCGTCCTGCGCATTTTTATCCGTATCGATCTATAGCGTCGCGATTAGCGATTGCGGATAGTCATCTGCAAGGGCGGCCGAGAGAGAAGCTACACATCGCGCCCCCTCACCCCTCCTTCTCTCGCCATGATCAGCCTTGCGATCTCGCGAGCGAGAACGTCTCGCGATCTAGCGCACAAGATATGGCAATATTTTTCCTTTCCCTTCGTCCTTTACAATGCAATTGTATCAATCGTCCGTGATAATTGTTACTCCGAAAGGGAAAACAATTAAGAGCAAAAAAAAATTGCAAATTATCCGAAATCAATGAGAGAAAACGAGTATTTTTCCCGTACGACAATATTAATTTGAGAGAACTCGTGGGATCGTTAAATCCTCTATACGCGGGATCGAGGTGTCAAGTGTTTCCTTGGTCACGTTTGCGATTGCACGATCCAATCCGCTCCACGATCGTCGCCGTCGCCGCCCGTATTACAAGATCAATGCAGGCCGATAAGTCGCGCAACGTGATAAACTCGCCACGCCGAGAGAGAGAGAGAGAGAGAGAGAGAGAGTATCACTCCCGCCGTTGCAGTCGCAGCCGCGATTCTCCGCGCTGCTTAATCGAATTCGCAAATTCAATCGAGACGCGTGCACGATGCCGAGGTTCGGCCGTCTCCATCGTCCTTTTGACGCAAACGAATTTAATGCTCAGTCGACACCCCTGTCTGACGTCGGGAAAAACCGCGCGTACCCTTTTTTAGCTCGGATATGCGATTACACCGGGGGAAACACTTAGTCGTGTGGATACACCAAAGAATCGCATTGATTATGACGAGTTGGCAGACGCTCGACGACACACGACGTTATAGCTCGTTGAATCATCCACGGGGAAGAGAATGTGCCGCGTCGAGCACCCTCGATCGTTCCCTCTCTCTCTCTCCCTTCGGCCAGACGTCGTCTTTGCCGCCACCGCCACCGTCGCCGCGATTTACCTGAGAACATCGGCGCACCGGTAACGACTTCGAGGATCCACTTAATTCCTCCTGACGGGAAGGTCTAACTCGAATTAAACGCGACGACAAATCCGTCAACCACGATGACAACGAGGACCCACGGCAATATCGAGACGGGGACGAGGGACTGCGTGCACGAGCGCGGCGTAGCTCGCGCGCGTCGTCGGTGTTTTGAAAGGCGCTTGGCGCGGACAGGACGGGGGCACGGGGCGCAGATACGAGCATCGAACGAACCGCCGCGTAGGGGCCTAAAAATCGATATTTCGGTCTTTGCTCCATCCTCTCCGCGCGCCGTGCGGTGCGGTGCGGCGCGGTGCGGCGCGGCGCGGAGCGGCGCGGCGCGTCCATGGCTCGCGCGGCGGCTCGCCGGCTTTCGCCGGCGCTAGAGAGAGAGGTAGGGTATGCCCCCCTGGTGTTCATCATCGATTTTCCCGGCTACCAATCGCACGCATCCATTTATCGCATCGATCGCCCGAGCTGATTTCAGCGTTTGCGTCCGTCCGTCCATCCGCGCCCGCTCTCTCGCTCGCTTCACGACGATTCATACACCCTCCCGACGCGACGGTGAGATCCCCTCCGCGGTCTCCCTCTCCCGCTGCTCCGACCTCCCTTTCTACCGTTCTCACGCCATCGGTGTACCCTCTTCCCGCGACCCCTATCCCCTCGTCGAGGCGACCCTCGCCGCCATCGCCGCCGCCGCGGCCGCCGCGGCCGCCGTCGCCGTTTCGGCTGTACCTTCGATCGACTATATAGTTACGACTCAGCTCGAAAGAAAGAGAGAGATAGATTCGTCGAGGGCCGCGTCGAGAGGGAGGCTAAACCTCGTGGAGACCCCCGATCCCATCCGCCGACTTCTTCGTACGCCTGTTGATATCTTACGCTGCGTTTGGTAGTAGCGTACAGTTCTCGCACGCAAGCGAGCTTTTCTCTCCAGCGGAGGAGCCGCATGTAGGATAATATATACGATGCCTGACGCGAGCGGCGTACGTACGCGTGTACGTCACTCCGATTTGTTGCAGGCTATCGATTACCTGCCGCTCGATGATCTACCCCGTCCAGACGAGGGATCGTGTCTCTCCTATATACTCCTCCCATATTCTGCTCGCCGGGAGTTCGCGATATGGACGCGTACGTGGGATGTCTAAAAAAATTTCGTAAACTTCGATCGAAAGTTAATTGTTCCAAGTAATTTGAGGACTTGCAGTGTTTTGCCGGATCTTGGCTTTCTTAAATAGCGCGGCCAACGAGATACTTAAATTACGATCGATACAAATTAATTGTATGGAGAAAAAATGGAGAAATTACAAATCTCGAGATTAGCACGCGACGTACCGCGTATAGATCATAATGTAATCGTTCGCCGACGTATTTTAATTGAGAGACGCTTCCGCTGAATGTGCAGGATGCAAGTTAGATCCCAGCAAACACAGATTATAACTACAATATTGCAACAACAATGTAATATTTCTGCAATATAGTTGGAATTGTTACAATGTTGCTGCAATATATTGCCGTTATAATCTGTATTTGTTACAGGATCTCGACATCCATTTGACGAAATTGATGCCCTAGCAAATGTTTTATCTATATATATATGTACAATATCCTTTTGAGATATCTATATGATGGAATCGTTATATACATGTAATATTCCTGTGTCGGTAGATCATACCGTTGCGTTACGCGATATATGTGCTAAAGAGATCTATAGATCGACTCGTCATCCGCCGATCCGTTTCGTGAAAATTTCGCAATCGAGCGAACGTCGCTCATACGCCCGGAGATGGCGCCGGTGGTGGGATTGTTCGATTTTCAGGATTTCCTCGGTATGCACACGCACGCAACACACGTGTACGTATGTGTACGTGTACGTGTGCGTGTGTGTGTATGGCGCGCGCGCGTGCGATGCGCGGCGACGTGCCGCATTGCGTCGACGACCCATTTTGCAACGAGGGCGATAAGTCGCGCTGCTCGCCGTCCTTCCCCGCACCGTTAAATAATCAATCTTGCGGCGTCCGCTGATCGACGTGCACGTCTCAAAAAACGTTTTTTTTCTTTTTTTTTTACCTTCCGGTACCGCGGGAAAGCGGTTAGGGCATGCCACGTTTGTCGTCGAGCCTCCATCCTGTTGGATCCTCTGCATCCGCGTAGTTTTTTTAATCGAGCTTCGACTCTTTAAAATTCCCGTTGCTCGACGAAAGATTGTCTGAGAGACGAAGTGCAAGCGAAAGGACGGTCCGGCTTCTCTCTCGGACGAGAAGGCTCGTTATACGGAAAGACAGAAATTCTCCGATGATCGATGATCGATCCGCGCGAAAAGGGCGAACGTTTGAATCGCGATCGCTCGGGTCGCCCTCGGATCACGTGGGTGGCTCGAGTCACGTGGCGCTTTCGCGCGAGGTCGCACGGGGTCGCTGCGCGCGTTTTTCACGAGCCGAGCGAGAGGCGAGAGGACGGAGAGGCCCGAGAGGAGGCGAGCACGTCGCTGGACTCGCTGATCGCTATACTATACGTCGCGTGCGGCGTACATACTTTACGATTCGTGTGTGTGTCTCTCTCTGTAAATAGCGAGTAAATAATGCGCGTTGTTGTCGTCGGCCGGGGACTCGTCGCGACCGCAACAACGGCGATAGGAACGACGACGGTTTGACGGCAGAGGGAAGAATGCGAGAAGGTTTTTGGACTCCTCGGTCGCGTCCGCAAACTTCACGAACGTACGGCCTGCGACAGTGCTCCTCGCGTACTACCCCGTGAGTGGCCTCGCTGACCTAATTTCGACGAGCAAAAGCCCTTCTTTCGGCAGCCGCGACCCTTTCGTCCGATCCTTTGTTTTGTCGGTGGTCTTTTGAGACGCACGACGACGACGACGACGACAACGACGACAACGACCTCGACGTCGCGCGAGCGACAGCCGGAGTTTCGTGACACAGAGTTTCGCCACGAATTTGCACGTGGAAGCCCGTTCGCAATGTCGATTTCTCCGCGAGGAGCACCGTTGGACTTGTCAACTTTAAAAAAATCAATTTGAGCTCAGAAAAATTAGGTTAAGTCAACGAACGCGCGAGCGGGGAAGGGGCAGGGAGGGAAGGGGACTTATCCCGATCCTCGTGGCGTGAGTGCGGCGCCGACCTCTTATTGTCAGGTGAAGCGCGCGAGCTCAACAGGCGACAGACCTTGCGGGAGAAGTTGGTGATTATACATTATACATGGATGCTGCCGTCAGCAGCGTCCGCAGCTTCCGCATTCTCACTTCTCGGGGACCACACGGCGACGCGGGCAAGATGAGATATGCCTGTACGAATTCTCGTGCGGGAACACGATCGAAGGGACACGATCGCGCGTTTGTGATAAATCGCCAGCAGCCCGCCGTCGCTGAGATCCGTGCGCTCATATATGGCAGTACGTGAGGGAGATCCGGAGCCGTCCTGGAGCAAAGATGCCTCATATTACGCGAAAATGGGAACTGTTCCCGGGCAGGAATCGCTTTTGCTGCGACGGCAGAGTGATGATGGCACCGCAGACTGGAGTGTTCTATGTCACCGTGTGCCTCATCGTCGGAACAAGTGGATTGTTCTTCGGTTTTGAGTGAGCAATGTATTTCATCGCATTTGTCCTTCAAAAGTTGAACCTCAGTGTAAAGTAGAATAATCTATTTGCTTCAGCTTACACACCGAGACGGGACTTGGTTTATAATTTTACATGCATTAACTACATGCATCCATCCATCCCTTAAACCTATACCAGGCTGTACATTTTAAATTGAGGATTATGAATTGGAGAGAATTTGTAGAATCAATCAATTAGAATGAAAAGGATTAAAATTAAAATTACCTCTGATTGATCAAATTAATAACTTTAATTTGCAAGCCTCAATCTCCAATGCCTAGTCTGATATGGGCCTTATAATTATTTGACTAGATAAAATCTAACATCTAAAGCACAAATGTCACATACATTTTATCGTACATGTATTATTTCTTTAAATTGAAGAAATTAAGGTTTCCATGAATAAATCATAAATTGTGCCTATGCGAGCCAACACAGATGGCGCATGTAATAATTTTTATTGTTACAATATCCAGCCACACACAAACTGCTTGCCACATTTTTGTCGGTCTTAAATGTATTATTTCTCTTCTTTTTTCCATCCTACCTAACACAGTCTTTAATGTTTCACTTATCCCTATTTATATATAAATATTATATATAAATATTTATATATAAATTCACTTATTTCTATTTATATTTTTACTTATTACTACTTGTATGTTACTAATTCTAATTCTTGTACAAAATCCCACATATTTTATTCTTTCTTCTTACATTCTTTACTTTTAAGCTAGTTTTCCTTATTTTTTGTCTGTATTTATGCCCTCCTTTTTCAACTTCTTTTTGACTGAATCTTAGTTATAATTGCAATCTCAGTATCTAGCAAATCATGTACTATAATCAACATTAGATTCTTTGTAAGATTAAGATGATATTTATATCTGATCTTATATTTAAGACTGTTTTAAGTCTGGTCTTAGATGATTTTAAGATTCCGCCCAATCAATGAAACGATTGTATAGCATTTCGAGATTATGTTCGAAATAATCTTAAATACAAGATTGGACTATGAATATCATCTTTAATCTATTAGTACATTGCATGCCTCATTGTTAGAGCAATTAGATTGTTGTTCGATTCGGAGTAAGCGTTGCATACATTGTGTTACATTGACGTCAGGGACAAACCTCAGTGGAGTTAGATAGACTTTAGCTTTATTTAACTCTGTTAAGATTTATCCTATATAAATTTAGATAAATTATATAACTCATTATATTAATCATTATAATCAAATTCATTATAACAATTATATAACTAAATTATATAAATTATATAACTATTTAGATAAATTATATATATTATATATCCTATACAATCCCAGACAAACTATAAGAATGATATTCTTATAGTTTGAGCTTATATTTTAAGATCACCTTAAAATTCCAGCAAATGAAACAATTGTAGAGCGGATTCCTATGCAAGACAATATTACAGTATAAGATCAGACTGTAAATACGTTCTTCTTATGTTCGTTTCTACCAATGTAGATTAATCTCCATTAAATTTTCTCTTTATCTTTTTTTAATTCTTAGAACTAGAAAAAAATTTGTTTAAGTAAGTTAAATCAAGATTAAAGTTAATCTAGTTACTCTATATTGATAGAAACGGATATTAGTCTACTAGCAGGAAAATTAGCATGCTTTTATATACAATCGAATGGAATTTCAGGACAATGATTTTCTTTTTCTTTTTTCAGTTGTCCGTATCTGGCACTACATGTTACACCAGCAATACCAGTAATAGGAGCTTTATTATTTATATTTGTAATGTCTGCTTTATTCCGCACAAGCTTCAGTGATCCTGGAGTAATTCCAAGAGCGACACCTGACGAAGCAGCTTACATCGAAAAACAAATCGGTACGATTTTGGAGTATTTATAGTCATTACATCGTTTTTATTTAGCTTTATTTTAAAAGATTAATAATATTTGAATTTAGATAATCTCTAATGTTTATATTGTAAAAATTTAAAATGTTGAATTGAAATACTTTTTTTTATACGGAATTGTAGAAGTACCGAACAATGGTAACTCCAAGACGTACAGACCTCCTCCGAGGACGAAAGAGGTCTTGATTAGAGGACAACCAGTAAAACTGAAATATTGCTTTACATGCAAGATATTTAGGCCACCAAGAGCCTCTCACTGTAGTTTATGTGACAATTGTGTCGGTATGTATATCTGTTGTTTAATCAAAATTAGATATGAGGTATTTGTTCTCTCTTTCTTGTTCATATTATCAGATACTTGTTAGGGTTAATCTCGAATACGATACTAAAATAATCACACACAGATATTAGGCGAGGGTTTTAAAGATAGCTATTCTTTCAGAGAGATTCGATCATCACTGTCCATGGGTCGGCAATTGTGTGGGCAGAAGAAATTATAGATATTTTTATGCTTTTATAGTGTCCCTCGCATTTCTTTGCGTTTTTATATTTATATGTGCAGTCACGCATATTATTATGCGTAAGTAATCTTGATTTTTAGATCATTATAAATGAATAAACACAAATATAATTTACGATAAAATTAGAAACGTAACGTTTTATGTCTGTTTACACACTTGTTATGATTTTAGTTACGAAAGATAATAAGCCGTTTTTAGAAGCTGTAAAATTATCCCCGAGTAGTGTTATCGTGGGAGTCGTATGTTTCTTCTCCGTTTGGAGTATCTTGGGCCTCGCTGGCTTTCATACGTATTTAACTAGCAGTAATCAAACGACTAACGAAGATGTAAGTACGTCAAAATCGTGTATAAATTATGTCGGCAATTTTCATTTAACCGCTACTGCTGCCGTAGATTAAAGGGTCGTTCACGAATAGAAGAGGGCAGGACAATTTTAATCCTTACAGTCAAGGAAACATTTGTGGAAATTTTTTTTACGTATTATGCGGCCCAGCTCCACCTAGTTTAATTGGTAAGATCTTTTTCGTAGCCGCTGTAATGTATGCAGAATGTCCATACAAATATATGCAAGTCATAGAATACGGCTGAGAATATGACGTCACTCTTTAATTCTGTATTGAATTCATTCTCGGATGATATCGTTTCAGATCGAAGAGGAATAGTTACACCTGAATACCGCGCAGAACAGGAACGAGTGGGTGATGATAATGTAATTATTAACAATAAGACGTATGGTACTGCCAAAATTGTGCAGCCTCAGGTAATTCTAACGTGTTTATTAGCCTACCTTGATAACGCAAAAATAACATAAAAATAGTAGATATCGTTCAAATAAATAAGCGATGTACAATAGTATACATGTTTTGTTTTTTCATATTTTCAACAGTCGAACGGTACGACGGTTCAAACGAGCCCCAGCACGGATCTCACGGGCTCGATGAACAACTTGATCAGCGGTCAACATTCTCCAAGAATAGAGTCAATAAACGGTGAGTTGACCCTCTTGAGACATCCTACACGTTGTCCCGAGGACCTACCGAAATATCCGCGCCAGTACATAAACGATACTTACGTGCCGCCGCCGTACCCACCGGCGCAACATTGCTCTCAGGATTCTGTGAAACATATTATATATACCGAGGTAGATCGGTTGAATCCAGACTTTCAGAAGTATCCGTGTAGATGCGAGGACAGTTTGCACAAGTATCCCCATAGGTGTAGAGAGGAGTATCATAGGTGCTCGGATAATAATCTTATATACGACCAGTGCATAGGGGAACAGAAATACGGCATTGATCTTCAGAAGTATCCTCAAAGATACTCCGAGGATCCCTTACGTTATAAGATAAGTGAGAAGAACGGTTACACCGATCTGCAAAAGTTTCCCCAGTGTTATTCCGAGGATCCATTACGGCTCTCACAGTCGCCGCATATGCTTAAGTACAACAATTTGAGATGTACCGAGCACAGCTTAAAATATCCGATAACGAAGAACATTCTGCCGGCGCGTATATTAGGCACGGGTGGCATACCGATTATCGGGCAGACCGCGATTGGCCTTGTGGTCAACAGATTCGGTTCCGGGCCACTAACTAATAATTTATCGTATGCGGACAATTCGTTATGTCCGAGCGATAGTACGGAGGAGGATCTCTTGAATCGTCGTTTCATTATGAGTTCACTGAGTGATAATGAGGACATTTAACGTCTATTATCAACCGGGAACGCGTTTTTGAATTATAAAATTCATTTATAGTAGAAAAAGAGAACAATAAAATAATTATTACACATTCTTATACTAAAGAAATCTTGGACTTGTTAGAAAGCTTTAACAGTTAGAATCGTAATTCGTCCTATTCTTAAGAAAAAAATCTTTCACATGAGAAAGTGTACTGATTTGTATGTGTGTATATGTATATATATATATATATATATATTATATACATATACGTATAAATGGTTATATGATTGTTCTTGATTCCTTTAATTGGGAATTTAAAAAAAATTATATATATACAAATGCCGAGAAGTTGAATTTAATTGTTGAATAAAAAGAGATCTATTTATTTTTTGAAAGTACCGTTTTGCATTACGCATAGATATTTATTTAAAAAATATGTATATCACAGTTATGATGGTATATAAGTGAGTTAAAAGTACGATATTAATTAGATTTACTTGATGTAACTCAATATGATATTCTTTTTAATTTTATACATCCCTTATTATATGAACAAATACTATACATTAAACTTTAAATCCATTATTGCTTCTAAATCTATTATTGGCTGCGTTCAGAGAGCGCGCTATTGCGTTGTTGCGTTATGTCTTTGTTTTACGTTTAATGAACGTCTCTAAAACTAAAATGACAATAGTCGATAGCACTCTTTGAACACAGCCATTGAATATTTACGATTAAAACAATTCGTACTTTTTTCATGAATTTTGTTAATTACGCAAGTTTTCTTTATTGCTATTATAAAAATGAAAGTGCATAATGCAAAGACATGTTTTTTTTTTATAAGGTTTAAATTTAAATTTAGAAGTAAATGTATTTGTATATATATTTATCTAAGTTTCTTAGTAATTAATATAGTTTGGATTTAATTCAATTGTATTTCTCTGTTGTTTAAAATTACGTCCTGTTATCGAGGGCTCAGAGCGTACTACTCGGTAAGTTCATTTCATACATTTTGATCGTCGTTGAGTGTATGTTTTAATATACGAATGATCTGATTATCTTTCACTAGCATTAATAAATCACTATACACGTGACATATTTCTTTTACATTTTATGAAACTAATTCTGGAGCAATATATTGCAGGGTTTATGGTTTGTGACTAATTGGTTTATAATTTGGTTTTATATTATATATAACATATATATAATATAAGATCTTATATAATATCTGTAAATAAGTTAGTATATATGCGAAAATGCATTGAACTTTTTGTTTCTGTTTGAGAAAAAATTTTTGATTCAATATAACATTTAATTTTTCGATGTGCGTATGCTCTCTTTACAAATTTACAAAATTCGGTAAGATACCTTGTAATACCAAAGAATGTGACAAATGTGGTTTGACATATCCTTTTTTTGTCTTCACGTATAAATGGAAGCAGTGTCAAAAAAATTTTTTGCAATGCTATGTTTAAGATGTTGACTTTACAGAATGTAGGAATGCGTACTGAGGATTAGTGCATTATTTATTTAAATGGGTAATTGAAATTATGATTAGAGCTTGCATCGCTGATACATTGTGTGTGAGAAAATACAAGGCCAACGCTGCACCTTTCTGATAATAAATAATTGTACGATATAATTTTGTTTTCTTTTCTGTCGATACTAAGGAGGTTCCATAACAGCTTGTTTCCCCCCTCACGATTTAATAGCAATTATTTATATTTTTAATGCTGTACGTGCACTCTTTTTGTTTAAAATTGTCCATGCTGTCAAAAGGGGATGACTTATCTAGTATTACGAATTTTGTTTCTAGGTAGTACCACAAACAGTATAAGTCAACTTGTTACCAACGAAATGCCGCTAGCATCTCTCAATATAGCACCAATTGATATCGACGAAATTGCACCGCTGCCTTCTCGTCAGAGAATCGTGGCCTCTTCCGCTTTGGATACATCTTCCATACCAACAGTAACCGTAACGACCCCTTTGTCTGCGTCCAGACTTAGACTACTGCAAGACACGACTATGATAGAGTCTGCTTTAGACTTGGATTCATTGGAAGATGCGAGCGTCGGTAGAGGAAGCCAGTCAGGGCTTATAAAAATGGGTGTAATATAAAAGTTACAAGAGATTATTAACGATCGATTTCTGTCTGATTTCGATGAATAGTGCAATTTTTTAATATTACGTATTGAAATAGGGAATACAATTTGTTTGCATCTTCATCGACTAAGAATTCACACACGATATGATAATTAAATATATCCGTTAATTATCATTAATTGCGGGGATATATATTTACGTTGTTATACTTTTTCTTGGAAGAAAAAGTGATTTCGAGAAATTTTAAAAAGTAGAAAATTAAGTCACAAATAAAATGTAGGTCGAAATTTACATGCTATGATTAAAGTACAAATATGATTATTTTGATAATTAAATTTGTATAATTGCATGATTAAATTGCAATAATGTATATTTAAATCAATTTTGTATAACTAGTATTTATTATAATTATATCATGTTTACGTTGAACTGTAATAATCGTATGCCAGAAAAGGCGTTGATTCATATATTCCATTTTTCCAAATATTTCTGCGATTAAATATAGAATTGTCATTAGAACCTTACCTAGAAATTTTTAAAAATTTTAAAAAATTTGTTGAAAAATATTATTAATGCTTTAATTTATTATTTATATTAAATTATTCACAATTCTATAAAAGAAAAATATAAAAAAAATTGCTCGAACGAAGATATTATAGTGATAAAAAAAGTCATATGCTACTTAATTTTGTTTATGTAAATTTATATGTATAAGTTTATGTCACATATAAGATTTATTTTTTCAATTTATGGCATCTCCAATTATTAGAAATATATACACTTTGCATTATTTCATATGTATATATACGATATTACGGAAATCAATGATTTTACTACAATAGATTAAAAAACTGATAGCTACGTGTGTAACTATATTTCTAGCACCTGTGTCGTGCTTGTACTCAATGAGGAAAAAGAATCAAAGTTGTATTAGAACGGAGTGAAAATTTTTGAACAGGGTATGAAAGTGAAAGAAAGAAAGAGACGCGTTGCTTTCAGTATGAGTAAAAAATATTTATTGTAGAAAAATGTAAGAACTACGATATTTTTTCTGTTGCGTTTTTCAACGTTCTTAGAGATATTGTCTTTTTAAAGGAATATGTCGTGTACAGTGTAAAAAGTTTTGTAAATAAAATTTTCATACACGTTAGCATAGAGAATTTTACAGAATATTTACAAAATTTATTAAACCAATGCAGTTGATAGCAGGCATTTAAACATTAGGATTATCACTGCCTAATTTATTAACAAATTTTGTATCAAAATTGCATGTTATTACCTAATTTGGCACTATCATGCGATATATATTATTCATATGAGTAATATTGAAGACTACATTAAAACAACAGAGCAGAATTGTCATACTGATGTTATAAGGGGATTGCCATTACAAAGACTAAAAATTTTAAGATTACTACTATTCTTTTGTATATATAAAAGTACATGTATATGATATGGTATATGTATATATTATGTAGATGTTACAATAAAATCCATATATAATATAAAGCAAGTTAAAAATATTTGTATTATTTTATTTTCCTCAAAATATATTAATAAAAAAGAATAACATAAATGTATGCAAAAGATAAACAAACCATACATTATTTTCATTTCACGCTCAAAGTTTTGTCATATCTGAATACACACACATACGTAATAAAGTAAAATTTTATTTAAATTCTCACAATTACATTTTCAAATACTTTTATATCTAATATATATTTTATACACACACGCACGCACGACGTACGCATGCGCGCGTTCGTGTGTATGTGAAAATTCTATTTTATAAGAATAAAGAATTGATTAAAGGTAATTTGTATTGCACGCAAACTTTCAAAATGTGTATATTAAATAATTTAAAATTTTACATCGAAATTTACACGATTTCAAAATACATATTATATATTTTTTTTAAACATTGTATGTTACATAACATATGAACAAACTGTGCTGTATTTCATGCGTTCACTGTGAATAAAATACGTATGTATATATTAAATCATGAATTGGTGCACGAAGACGGCTATCAACAATATAATAAACGCAACACTTAAGCCGGTAAGGTAAATGGTCATTTGACGATTTCTATTCATATCAGCATTATTGTCCAACGGTTTGGTATTGACGTCGCTTTGGCAGTAGAATTCTATAGGATCTGGCGTTAACATATTCAATTACAATTAAATAAAACATGCGACTTCGAATTGCTATTATGCGATGATACTTTACATCTTTCTACTTACCAGCTTGCAGCTCGATCTCCTTTTGAACCTGACTTTCTTGCACTTCGAGATCTAGAAGTTCCTGCAATGACAATAACGCCTCTTGCGGCCCTTCGCCGGGAAACAGATAATCCGATAACGTAACTTTATTTTCCGGTAACGCTATCAACACCCGTCTCGGTGGTTCGTGCAGCGTGATATTTTCTGAAAATACAAATTGCAAGGGTGATATTTATGCAGAACATAAATATAAAAAAAATTTTATTATTTTATATCGCATATCTCGCATTCGCGATTTACCTTCGGGAGAACCATTTTCTTCCTCTATCAGACTATCCCAGTGCATTTCCAGTCTGCTTGCCAGAGATCTCACTATATCTTCTTTCACAGCCATATTGGCCTCTGCAATACTGGCTCTATGATGTACAAATGTTCTACTGACTAACTGTCCAATTAATCGTATCGATGCGCTGCATGACGTTGTTCTTATATTCATATCACTGTTATTTTGTAACTAATAAAATAAAATTTCAATTAAATTAATTCCTTAATATCTCTTCTTATAAACATTAAATAAATTTTCATACTCACACAGGGAATGTATAGGCTAACTTGAAGTGAATTATTGTTATCGTTTGTCTTTTTACATTCTTTGCTATTCTTCTTTTTCTTGCCAAGTATTTCCAATGTGTCATCCGAAGATCTGACTTCTCCCTCAATAACGACGAGCGAAGAATCGATTAAATCTGCTACGTTTGTCAAAATATTCTGCAAAATTTAACATCTTTAATGCGGCATTCTAAAAATAATAATTGTTCATTCGTTTTCTTTTAAACCTGTAATTGTTTTTTGAGGGTTTCAGGATCCTTGTCTGCAGCGATAAGATACAATCTGTCAAAATCTACCAGAGCTTCAAGTTGATGCCATTTGGTTGCTTTTTCTTGGAATTTCCAATCGGCTGGTTTTAACATACTGTCCTTAGCAATGTCTATAGATTTGCAAATATATCTGAAGGTAAAGGACTCTAATTACTAAAACATAATCAGGATACAGCACACAATTTAAATTTCTGTCTGACAAACTCAGGGGAGCATACTTTTGTGTGACACTGTTGAAACTTAATATAAGCTTCTCATCCTGATTATTTCCACAGAGATACTTATTATTCCACGATAAAGTTTTGTGAATTGCACCAAGAACCGACTTAAGCTTTTGTACATTGCTAGTATTGTCTAAAGTATCCTCAGGTCCAACAATAAATATGCCAAGTACCCACATTCCACCAGGCAACATTCTTGTAACCTGTAAATGAAACAAAACATGGCCATATAATCATCTTTATATAATACACTAGGTTGCTCGTCAATAATTTCTCTTTTTTCTTCGTTTATTTATATATTTAGATATATCTATTTAATTACTTGTCGGAATGTTTATATATTATATGACAGATATAAATTAAATTTTATAATTATTTTTGTAAATAAAAAGTTATTGACATATCGTATTGACAAATAATTCTAAACATGTAACATTTAAATTCTTTTGTTTTTACTTGTTTGTCTATAATAATTAAATTATTCATAAAAATAAGGAATTGAATTGTATTTCATAATTGTGCCAAGAAGACTGTGACATACATGTTTAGCATGATCAGCGACCCAGCTCATAGGTATATCTCTAACAGATCTGATATATGTATTTGTTGTATCCTGTTCTGCAGGCGCTGCGGAACTAATTAACGTTTCTTCCACAACATTTTTCGTGAGAGGAGGTGGTGTCTTCGCTAAGTGAACAATGTAATCCTTTTGCCCAGCACTCTGGTATCAAACAGAAGATAGTCAAACAATGTTATACATACAACTTAAGACTAAGTTTTAAAATATTTTGCCATAAGATCTAACGATTAAAGAGAAAAAATATATATGTAACAGTTGCTGCTTGAGTTGTTAAATTATGGTAACTTAAAAATATATTAATATCACAAAATTGCATTTCCACTTGTTTATCGCATATGTTAAAAACGAGAGTGTTAATATATGACCGCGAGAGGAAGCTAGAGGAAATCACACCTGTCCTAAAATCAGTCCTATCACGTATCCATCCGGCTTCGTTAAAGATGCTAAATACGTGCGAAGGTGTTCCTCAGCATAAATTGTCCGTCCCATTCTTTCCGCGTGGCGTTCTTCACTTACCTGCACTCACCTCTCACAGCCAACAACTGACAACACTGAACACTCCTCAATTTCTCAAATCTGATAGAATCGTGACAATTCGCGCGCGGAGCACTGTTCACCTCGCGGTTCTTCCTCGATGAGTTTCGGAACGCATTTGCGACAAACTTTCCTAAATTGTTACATACGCGTACTGAAACTCATATTAGAAAAGCGCTCCATTTTTATTTTAATTTGCAACTGTTTGGAAGTTTTCGCTGAGATAAAACGTTTGTTCTACATCTAAAAATATATAATTTAATCAGCACGAAAAAAATTTTTAACAATTACAGTATTTGGAGTAATTGAACTCGATGATTGCCAATTTAATATTTTGTCATAAAATATGCCAAAATAAAATATTTCATAAATTATTGATTTTTTTTGTAGCTCTATGTCTTCAATATACTTTTATATGCAGAATAACTAGAAGAATTACATTATGTAAAAAAATCATAATTTTATTTAAAAAAATTGTAATGATAAACTTTCTCCAAGTTTCAATTTTTTTCGAAAATTTATTTTATCATTTATTATAATTTTATGCCTCTTCAAACTATACAAAACTTTTGTTTGAAATAATTTTTTGTAAAAGGCATAAGAAAAAATATTTAGGGAGAGGTATAGAGAAATGAGTCCACCCTGTAATATTTCGTAATCTAGCTTGAGCAGAAAATCTTATTTATTCTTTAGTGCAAGCAAAAATCACGATTTTAATAAAAATAGAGTGAAAAAAATTTACAGCTGACATGCAATAAATCAATCGTTATTTCACTTTCTGTTTAACATTTATTACAAAACTTTCGGACACTAAGACTATTATATTCTTTGATTAAGATTTTTGGATTTAAAAAGTAAATTGGATGTAAATAAAAAAAAAACATTGAACGATCTCCGCCTGCTCCCTAAATCGCCCGAAATGCATATCTCTCTTTCTGATTGGTTGGTCCAGTGGAAAATCTCCAAGTACCAGTCACTGTGAGTGGCTGCGGTCAATCGCAACGTGGTCAAACGGCACGCTCCTGTTGCGCTCAAAATAAACATTCCGCTAAACGCGACCACTCCTGACGCCGGACGTAGCAGCCAGCAGACGCGTACGGCGTAGCTGGTCCGTACATTCATAATCGTCTGTGACAAACCGATGGTAATCTCGATTACTGTTCACATTAACGTTCATTACTATTGACCGAATAGAATAAATATGATAAAGGTTACAATAAAGGCAAAAAGTGAGACGCAAGCGTAGCCTGCATTTCAGTTCATTGCCATTACACAGATAAATGTACACGTTTAATGAAAAATTTATTTTAAATAAAAATCGGATCAAACATATATATATAGATATATATATATATATAGTCGAAATACTACTCGTTAACCACACAGCACGATACATTGCATGTAGCGTTTCAAAAAGTGGTGAATATTTTTCTTAAATAAGAGAGGATAATGTACAGTGTTTCTCTTCTCTTGCTTGTTCTGAGTGTACAAACAGATGGATTATATTCACTCGGTGATCGGTGCAATGTGAGTTATGCAATAAACTTCGCAAAAATAACATATTCTATGTATTAATTATATATCTGTAACCATCGTGTGTATCTTACTTTGTTTTTCAGTACAAATTTAAACAGAAATATCCTGAGGACAAAAATAATTACAGCACAGTTGGATATAATTCTTCAGTTGGATTTATTGATTATTGTACCGAGGAAGATGTTCCTTACGTTATGACTTTTGATGTGTGGTTGGATGATACGAGTGACGGAGATGGTATGTCACTTTCAAGTGGAGTAATTAACTTCCAGAACGATTACGTCCAATTGTATTCCATTAATTGTATTTTTGCCTTTTATCTAAGATTCCTTAAAGATTGGATTCACATCTCCTAAAAGAGAATGCAAGTATGGAGTAACCTTGTTAGTTAATCCTTCAATCAAGGATGAGAGAGAATGTAAGGAGTATAACTTTGACAAAGCAGATGACATTAAATCAAAGATACATACCGCAGAGAGGAATATGTGTATTTTTAAGAACACTAATCAGTCAACATTTGCAAGATATAAGTCGACAGTATTACCGCACGAGTACGAGGTAATAAATAATATTGATTCATTATGATGAAATGGTTATACAGAGTTGCCAAATTATATATTGTGCACTACTAGTTATATACATGCATATATATACATTAAACAATTTATTTCAAATAATAAGTTATAAGAGAAACTAAAAAGATTAAATTTAAGAGTTCTTAACGATTAAAAATCAGCAATAAATGAAAGAGGTCAAAAGAGTCAAACGGGTTATTATGTTCTTTTTATTGAATAAACAAATATTAATACAGATGTTTCGACCGATTAGATCGTTCTTAGTGTGAAACTTAGTGTACATAAAGAAAATAAATCCCAAAATAAAATTTAAATTGAATGTAATGTCAAACAGAATCTTAGGTTTTTGTGAACGGTATTTAAAAAAAGATAAAATTAATTGCGTCAAAAGTAAAAATAATTTCATAATGTACAAATAAAATGTTTTTTTTTTTCAAGAGCATTTGACTTTGGACTTTTGTATATCAGAGCATTCTTGATATTTAAAATTAAACCGCAAATTTAAACAGGATAAATAAGAGTCACTTGTAACTTCTCTTCGGACCATTTCCAATGATCATTGTCTACAATGTGATACATTGTCTTACATTAAAAAAATAGGTTCTCGGACTCTGATTGATATTGTAATCTCTATAAAGTATCACTCAATGGTTGCAAGACCAAGTGATATAGTAAACATTCCAAAGGGAGTCGAAAATTGCATAGAGAACGCGGATCATCATAAATGATAATAATGATTTGAATCATCTTGCATTCTCTCATTTTATCATAATAATCATAAAATTATAAATTTATATAAATTAAATGAGCATAAATAGAATTGAAATAGTTAAAAGACAGTCAAATTAACGGACAGCAGGGTTGGGTAAGTTAATATATTTTTTTAACTAAGTTAAGTTAAAGTTAACAGTCTAAAAATTTAACTTATTGTTAGTTAAGATACAAGTTAGTCCATAATAGATCGGAAGAGCACACGTC